TACAGACATTGAAATTACCATCTTTTGTACTGTCTATGATGTTATTATTTTTTATGTCATTTGCCATCTGGTAGTTTTGATAGCTGCACCACTCTACCCCAGCATCCGTACCTTTACTCACATTTTTTCAGCTCTTTGTTTTCTGCTCTTGCCTTTTTACAACCTTCTCTCATATTTCTGTTTCCAGGTTGGGATCAACTATCAGCCTCCTACAGTAGTTCCTGGTGGAGACCTAGCCCAAGTTCAGCGAGCAGTCTGCATGCTGAGCAACACCACAGCCATTGCAGAGGCTTGGGCAAGGCTCGACCACAAGTTTGATCTGATGTATGCCAAGAGAGCTTTTGTGCACTGGTACGTGGGTGAAGGCATGGAGGAGGGAGAATTCGCAGAGGCCCGAGAGGATCTGGCTGCCCTGGAGAAAGACTATGAAGAAGTGGGAACTGATTCATTTGAAGAAGAAAATGATGGGGAGTAATTTTAAAATACACTTTGTTCCTAGTGAGCACAGAATTGTCTCAGTATTACTGTATTACACATGTCTATCATTATGTCACCTTTTTTTGTATGTAATATACAGAAATTTAGGAGGGGTCATATAGAGATATCTTTTATTCCACAAATCACAGGTAAATTGTCCTATGAGATATGATCAGTTGTAGTAATGCCCCACCACTTCCAGCAATGGAAAAAGACTTGCTCTTCTTCCTTACACATTTAAGGTAAGTCTCTAATACACCTCTTCAAGTTCTAATACACATGCTAAAACCACTACAGTTCAATATATGAATGCTTATAATGGAGCACAGTCAATTAGTTTTCAAAGTTCTAATTTGACATACCTTCACCTTTTGCTTGTTGGCATGTCAAAAAATAATGACCATGGAAAAATGGGTCCCTGCTCTGTGCTTTATTATCCTCTCACTGATCTTCAGCTGACTGACCTAAAATGGACATTTCATTATTCTCTGAAATACCGTTTCTGCTAAAGCAAGCAATTCCTTTAGAAATGTTAAAGCAGTGCAATTTTTCCACATTTGGGGGATAAACATCTGTGTTATGAAAACAAATATCCTTTTTGGTTGGGTACTGCTGCAGCAGGCATAAGAATGTTTTTTTCTGTGTCTCTGTGAAACTGTTTAAATGAGAAAGCTCCCTCTTTTTTTCTAAAAACCCACTTTTCCTTACTGAAAACATTTCAGTATTCCTTATGCCACCTGAATGCTTCTTCCTCTACAAGAAACAACCTCTGCTTTATCCAGCAGACCACTGTGCCATCTGTGGCAATCTTTATTCAGTGCACCATGTGCAAGCAAGTCCGCAAAACAGGCATTTACATGTTTACTCAATTCAAAGTAGTGATCAAAGATCTAGGATTTATAGGATTCACATCTTGCTAGGCAATGAGAATTTTTTTTGGACTATGAAACTTCAGTAACTTTTTATCTAGGTCTATGTCCTTGATGGGATGCATCTATGGGTGCTGAGGCAGCTGGCAGATATCATTGCAAGGCAACTCTTGCTAATCTTTGATTGATCATGGTGACTTGGAGTACCCAAAAACTGGAGGAAAGCAAATCTCACTCCTATCTTCAAAAAGGGCATTAAGTACTTCAGCCACACACTGCTTCACAAGCTTCCATAGACCTATCAGACCTAGTGCCTGTTTAATCTCCAGTGTCAGTTTGTACCTAGGGCGGTTTAACTGTCTCTGGGCAATTTACAGTTTAGCAGTTCTCTCTCTCTTCCTCCCTTCTATCGTGCAGACCCCACACAAGCTAGAAATAGAAGGGGATATCACTAAATTTAAGCTATTGCCAAGTGGCTCTGCCAGAGTCACAACAAAGATGCTGAGTCATTTGTACCCTCCTGCTCACATGCCCCTACAGCTATCCACACCTACCCATGTGGCAACTGAGGAAGCTTCTCACTGCCACTGCTGCTTTGGGTTAAGAGCTCTGACTGCCAAGCAGCTGTGCTGCCTCCAACAGGGCCAGGCTGTATGAGCAGGCTCTCCAAACCTGCCCAGAGGGTAGGCAACTGGGACCTCTTCTGTGGGGACTGCAACAACGACAGCTCTGATGGGCTCCAGACGAGCCCTCCTAAGCACTGTCTCCTTCCCCTGGTTCAGTGAAGCAGAACAGGTACCTGACACAGGGCTGGGAGTGCATGCTGTCCTTACCTGTGCTAACAGAAGAACTGCTGACAGTTTAGCCTCTCTCCACAGTAAATCCATGTTAGCATAATCCTTCCTCCAGAAGGTGCACCCAAAGTGATCTGTGTTATGTGACAAAGGGGAGGCAGTGAACATCCCTTATCATCATCATCATCATCATCATCATCATCATCAGGGTTGCATACATCCTCCTCTGAAGACAAAGTCTTCTAGCCACTACCTAGATAGCTGGCTCTTTCATTCAAGGTGTAACAGGAACAAACAGTATGTTAATAATAATAAGAACACTTCGGTCACTTAATGCCTTGTAGAACCTCTTTGCTGCAGAAATATTATAAAGGACTTCCAC